TCTTTAAAAATGTGCAAAACATTGGCACAAAAACGTATACATCATTCACCGAACATATTTTAGTTGGATGTTCATCTAACATTTTTTAAAGATAACTTTTTCAGAGAACATGAATGGAATGGAATATTCCCCAAACGTTCACATAACCAAGATAAACATTTTTAAAACATGAAAAAAACGGGTCGTTTTGAACTTATACATGGAAACATTCAGAACATTTTCCTATTGGGAACGTAACTGGCAAAATAGTCTTAGAATATATATTTTTTGTTATATAGCTGAGTGGTCATTTTGGTAAAAAAAACCAAGTTATTTCTTTGCCTCCATCAGTGTTGATTAAGTTACTCTAAAAAAGTAATTAATTACTAATTACATCTTCAACAGTGTAATTGGATTACTGTAATTACTCTCTATAAAAAGTATTGGATTACTTAGTACTATTTACTTTCTAAATCCCATATCAACCTTGACCATAACAATAGGACATACATGTTTTAATTCTTTTAAATAAACAATATACAATTGCATAAATTATTCTTAAACTGACCAAAGTGTGTAAAGGAGGTTACATTAAACATACATTTTAACATAAAATATATTAAATTTTGATGTTAAATCCACTGTTGTTTTATATAGATTTGTTCTTTACTCTATACACCAGAAGTAACTGCAATTAAATGACATAAAAATTAAGAGTAATCCCTTACTTAACTATTCAAGGGAAAAGTAATTAAATTACAGTAATTAGATTACTTAGTAATTAATTACACCCAACACTGCTCTCCATCTACATGTACCACAGAGTTTGATGATGTCCACAGGGGTCTGCCATGCAAAATTATTGCTTGAGATCCATTGACATTCAATATGCGGTGCATTTCAACACGACTGTCCAGGGTTCTTCATTTATATGTAGCAATTATGTTTATTAGGCTACACATTGTGTTAGTCTGAAACAGAATTTATACACAGCCCACTCATGTTAGTACTCCAGCCCGCCATCGATATGTCAGGGCTTTATGTAAGCAGTGAAAGGTACAATTGCAAAATTACGGCAAAAATGTAGATGACTGTATTATTTTTAATTCTACCATGCATGTCGCATAAAATTGGTTTATGTGTTGCGTGTATTCTGTTTGTGTCTACCTCAGTGTCTCAATAATTTCCCTGAGGAGCCGAAGTAATGTTATTGTTTCACTGTGTGCTTGTGTTTGACTGGAATAACTAATAAACCCAAACTTGAAATGTGAATTTAAATAAGTGGATGACATTGTTTGGTTAAATGCATGGAAAATCAGACAAGTAAGTATGGCAAAGTTGCACATCAATCTCTTCAGTGGACCCTGGTGCATCATCATATACATTGCAACCAAGTTGTAAGCCATTGTGGGTTTTTCCCCCTCCAAACCAAGATGGTCAATGGTCAGTCAGACATGCCAAGTTGCTCCAGAATATCCACCCATTCCTTCTATCCTAGGAGACTTTTGTGGGTAGAAAAAATATTGCAGCATCAAGTTTTGATTTTAGATTGGGAGAAAAATCTGATTAATCCACTATAGTGGACCCGATGCAATGGCTATATTTCAGCAACAATTCATACTTAAACTGTGAATATTGTTTTTGAAAATACTTAATCTGCAGTGACTTGTTTTGACTGCAAATAAATGTATTTGTATTATTAGAATGTAATTTTCATTGACATCGAAAAAAGTTATGTAATTACATACTTTATGTGACTTGTAATGCATTACTTTACTCATTTCATCAAAAAAGTAATCTAATTACGTAATGCATTACTTCTTAGATCAAAAAGTAATCTGTTTACGTAATGAATGTTGCTTGTAATGCATTTATTTACTCGTAACGTCAAAAAGTAATCTGATTACGTAATGCATGTTACTTGTAATGCATTACTTTACTTGTTAGATCAAAAAGTAATCTGATTTCGTAATGCACGTTATTGTAATGCGTTTCTTTACTCGTAACATCAAAAAGTAATTTGATTCCGTAATGCATGTTACTTGTAATGCGTTTCTTTACTCGTAACAACAAAAAGTAATCTGATTACGTAATGCACATTACTTGTAATTAATTACTTGTTAGATCAAAAAGTAAACAATGTTTTGTTTTTTAACCGCTAGAGGGCCAAAATATAGCGTATAGCCTATACCTTTAAAAAACAAAAACACTCAAAACGTATTTTTCCAATATTTAATTCATAGAACAAGTGAGATTTAAATTATATTTTGACCAGTGAACTAAGAAATGTCCATTTTATTCAATGCGTAGCTAAACCTACCTACTTTCGCACAGTAAAAGTTCATACATAAAACATTTTTATTCTTCTAATAGGCCTATATAATTTATTTCTAGCATACAATTTATTTATTTATTTGTTATTTATTTACAATTGAGAAATTTCTAAGAGGAAAACACCATAAATTTTTGCAGTGAAGGAAACCCCCCAACTGTCCAACAGATGATTCTTTTCAAAGATGAGTCAGCAACCAGTAACATTGCTGGCAGACTTACAGAACATACATCAAAAAATGCAGCTCTGGTTACAGTCCTGTACAGTTTGCTGTAAAGCATTAGAGATTCAGCAGGGCTTCTGAAGTCCTGAAAGATGAGTCTGGGTGATGTAATACGAAAAATTAAGTAAAAAGGGTGCAACCATATACTTCAAATCACACAACTTTATTTGCTGGGATAGTCAAGTACAAAACCTTCTCATAATTATAACGACAGTCATACTTTTTGTGTAATCAAAGCGCTTTTGATCGGAAAACTGTAAAATTCTAAACAAATAATTGGAATACATTAATCTGTAGGCCATTCAACAGAGTATGAGCAAAGGGCTGGCTAGCTGAACTGAAATTGGCATTAAAAACATGTCTGGTAACGCATTGCCAGGAAATGCATATGGCTGTCTATTATGAGTCACAGGTTTGGTTGCTATGATGTAACCATGGTTTTAAAATGTTTTGTCATTTTCAAACTATCCACTCAATATGAATGACATATCTAGCCTACATACAGGTAGCTAAATATGAGATGAAATATCTGTTCATACAAAATTGTATTTTGAGTCAATGTGAATCATGGGGACTTTCCCAATTCCCATCCCCACTGTAACCATAGGGGACTGCAACGCAGTACAACTCCTTGCAATCACGTGTTCAATACATTTCAACCATTTTGGTGTTTCTGTGTGACTGAAGATATGCACAATACTGCACCCTAGTGCTCGTATAGGGAATGTTTATTTTTTTATGAATAATGTGAAACGCTTAGCAGAATGCTTTTACTTTAGACAAGTAAAACCTCTTTACACCTTTCATTTTTATCTTTGAAATCTTGTAATCTTGTGTGTAAAAAGAAAGAAGGGAAATCCGTTGTACGAATTTATCACAGTGTTTGAGCTACTTATTGGCCTTTTAGAAGAGTCATGATTTTAGAACAGGTCTTTTCATGCTCCTGTTTACCCTTGTGCATCAATTAAAAAAGTTACACATAGGTCCATATAGAGGACACACATGTCTGTGTCAAAAAACTGTCATAAAAATGTGAAGCTTGGGAGCACAGACTTAAGTTTGGTCTCATTTTAAAGAAGATCCTTGGCAGATTATTCCTGAAGTAAAAATTGAAAGAATTAATAAATCAATCCCCAAAAAAGTTATATAGGTTTAAGTTTAGGAAAATTATTTATGAACATTATTTTATATAAAATATATATTTTATGAAACAAGTTGAACTCTAAAACAGCTAGAAAATCAAAGCCATACATCTAAATAAGTCGTGTTCCAAATTTGAGGTTGATATCTCAAAAAATGAGCTTTCTGTAAGATTTTGTTTGGGCGCAGTACCAGATTTTCCCCTTTGGATGCCAGCAAAACTACTGGTACACACAGTGATTGGATTTTAGATTTGCAGTTGAGTTTTTCTCTCTCAAATATTACAAGCACACAGACACAAACAATTCATAGGCTACAAACCACACTCAGACATCCATACCAACACACCCACACAATTATCGTTGCATAATTTACCCAATTGGCTCTATAATATGCAGAAGCAGAAAACAGGAATAAAGCGATTATTTGCTTTATAGGCCAAACCTGAAAAAATGACATCTGGTAAAAAATAGTAAAACATTTTATTTTGAAGCATTGCGAACAGAATGAAAGCCTCTTAACAAAGATTGCATCATATAGTTAAATGGCCCTGGGATTAAAAATGGGAGTTTTAATGGGTTTCAATGGGGACATTTTTTGTACCTAGTGCAAAATTTTGTTTTTTAAAGGAAATGGCGGCGAAATAGTACAATTCCAATAAAAATACACACCTGTGCCAAATTTTATGCAGTTAGCATTAACACAGGCAAAGTGATAAAAAAAAAAAAAACTGTCCATAAGGAAGCTCAAGGGTTAACTATTATCGAGAAATCCAGTTTCTAAAATATGAAAGCGTAGGTTCCACCGAGATTTGAACTCGGATCGCTGGATTCAGAGTCCAGAGTGCTAACCATTACACCATGGAACCGCCCTGTCCAAGCAATGAAATCTACAGGTTTAATAACTTGTTATTGTGAAAATGAACAAATGTTTTCTTGCTTGTTTGTTTCCTTCAAACCGCTATCATCAGGAAGTATGACCTAAACAACCCACTTTTACAAGTCTAAATTAAAAATAATTCCTAAGAACACAATGATATGCGGGACATGCGACTGTGTTTTTCTGTTTGTCAAAAGTACGTTTCATATTAAAACATATATTAGCATTTTAAACTCAATTGCACGATCCACAAACATTTAGCTGTTTTATAGTTATAGATTATTAAGATATACATTAAATAAGGTATACAATACATTTACACATACTGAAATACTGCCATATAAAATAAAATAAATATTGTAATACGGCTTTTATTTTGACAGCTTGTAAAGGCCCTAACCCGGAACACTTCAGGAGACGCTCACTGGTTCGCCTGCTGCTAACCTGTTAGCATGGCTACTGCCTAATCACAAATACACTGCAGTGCAGTAGCGGAGAGGACAGGGACGGGTCGGCTACACTTTTGCTTCACATTCTTCCATTGTTTGCGCTTTTGTTTTAATCGAAATGGGGACGCGAGACGACGAATATGACTACTTGTTTAAAGGTTAGTATATACAACATTTGCGCCGACTATATAAGTTAAAGCGGCGCTGATCATCGTGGTTATTGTTAGATAGTGTGGTTTTATATTAAACACATAAAGGCCAGCTAACCGGCTAGCTCACTTCAAACAGCCCAAAACAATCTACTGCTCCTCGGCTGGAATAGTATCATTTTAGTCTTATATTACTCAGTTACGCCGCACTCTGTCTATACAGATGTTGGTTAATTGACTACATAAAGCACAGTTTACCGAAGATCGGACCACACCTTGAAGCGGCTAGCTGAAGTTAGCTGATAATGTCGCTGGAGGGGTTTAACGGAGCAGGCGGAAATGGGAAACGGCCTGTATTCCCAGATGTTTTTCCAAGCCTGTATGACTGACTGACTTCGGCGGAAGGCAAAAGGAGATATTTTGGGGCAACTTCAACCACCGTTCGCTTTCATTATATATTTTTCCTTACAATGAAAGTAAACAGTGAACGAGGCTGTCATTCTGCCTTACATCTCCTTTTGTGTTCCACCGACAAAAATATAGTCGCTTTGGAACAACATAACACATTTTGGGTGAACTGTCCTTATAAAGAATTATTTGTGTCAGCTTATTGTTACTGTTATTTTTAAGGAAATACAAGGTATCAGGTGATGTGAACTCGCGTTGCTTATGTTATCGTTTTTAATTTTTTTTTTTTTTTTTTGAAATAATGTGAAATTGATCATTTTAGAATAAGTCCATAAAAGAAGTTGTTCCCTATTCAGTCATCTTTGAAATGCATTGTTCTTTGAAATGAGTTTGTGAGGTTTCGCTCCATGTTGTCATCAAGAAATGACGTGCTAACTTGAATCATATTGATCGTCAACAACCTCTCTAATCTAGTATAGTCATGTTCGATGTTATAAATAAATCTTCAAATTAGCCTAGAAAAAGTTTGTAAGCTTACGTTATCCACCAAGTTCATTGTCACACAAGAATGTTACCAAAAATGGTCATGTAGACTCCCACATTGTGACTTCTTAAAACTAAATGCACTTCACTTTTAAATTAGGTTGTCATAAGCGCTTAGTTTCCAAACTTGAGGAGGTTTGTTCCTATATTTTATTTTAGACAGAGATGTCTTTGATTTATCACTCACACTCCTATTTAAATGGCTAGTTCATGCAATAATTAAAATTGTCATCATTTACTCACCCTCATGTTTATCCAACCCCATAAGACTTTTGTTCATCAAACACAACTGAAGATTGGCTGAACTAGGTTATTGTGTTTATCAGATATAAACCATGATGTTCTTTATTTGAAAGTGGTCCTGATTGGTGACTCTGGTGTGGGGAAGAGTAACCTGCTGTCTCGTTTCACTCGCAATGAATTCAACCTTGAGAGCAAAAGCACTATCGGAGTGGAGTTCGCTACACGGAGCATTCAGGTGGATGGAAAGACGGTGAAGGCTCAGATTTGGGACACAGCTGGACAGGAACGCTACCGAGCCATCACTTCAGCGTAAGTATTTTCCTTCCTCATATTACAGATACCAATTAACATTTTACTTGGTTTATGTGTTTGTTGTTTTGTTTGATAAAGTCTAAAAGCTCATTCACACCAAGGACGGTCAGTAACTATAAACTTTTAATGATTTTAGGGAAGTCCACACCACAGATAAAATGACAACAGCACAGAGGAACGATATTGTTGAAATCACTTTCAGAATTAATCCACCTGACTTTTTTTTTTAAAGAGTTCGAGTATTTATAGCGGCAGACTACAACTGCAGTCAAATATGATGTCAGTCAAAAATGAAAGTTGTTTCAGAGGGGAAGCAATTTTCTATATTCTGATGAACTATTATGAAGACAAACTTAATTGGATGATTGAATCATTCACATTAGAATCAAGAAATGCATTTTGATTTCATGTTCTCATTGAGCACACTTCAACCTTCCACTATCTTTTGATTGGTTCCCTGTGTTGATGTACAGGTATTACCGGGGAGCCGTGGGGGCCCTCCTAGTGTATGACATCGCCAAGCACCTGACCTATGAGAATGTGGAGCGTTGGCTTAAGGAGCTCCGAGACCATGCAGACAGCAATATCGTCATCATGCTCGTGGGCAATAAAAGCGACTTGCGTCACCTCCGGGCCGTGCCCACCGACGAAGCACGTGCATTTGCAGGTTAGATCTACAATAAAGACTTAAAAGTGGACCTTTAACTCCTGTTGCATTACAGGGAGTGTGTATAGCCAGGGCATTAGTTTGTTTGGTTTCTTTGTGTGCTCTTTCAGCTTGTTAACTGTTACCATGAATGTTAATGTATGTTCCCCATGTTTGCAGAGAAAAACGGTCTGTCCTTCCTAGAGACCTCAGCTTTGGATTCCACCAATGTAGAGACCGCTTTTCAGACCATCCTGACTGGTGAGTGTGCTTTGCAAAAGAGCGTTTCAGCACACGTAGCGGATACTTATCAGTGTGCAAGGTTAAGGATGATAAACTTTTATTTATGTACTGGTAGAAGAATATACACGAATGACGAAAAACACTAAACAGGCTTGAGGAAATGACTGTTTGTTTGTTTAAAATGATAAAAAAGAAAGATTGTAAATGATTGGCTGAAGGCCACATCCTTATGAATGACTCATCAAAAGCCCTGACTTGGTCGGGTAGGTTTCTCTAGCCTGACGTGACTGCAATAGAGAGTCTCCGTCGTCTTTTGCTCCTCTGTTTGGCTCCTGGCATCTGCAGAGGGAGAACAAATAATAAATGTTTCAAAGGCATCGCAGTCAGTTGCAATGCTGTAATTGTGTCCAGTAATAACTGTAGGGTTTATAGGCTTTTACGGCAACACAAAGTCCATATTCATTGCCAGTTCGTGTTGTCACTGTGCACATTGTCTCAGCATCAATATCTTTTTCTGTCTCGTAGAAATCTATCGGATCGTATCCCAAAAGCAGATGTCCGACCGCCGAGACAATGACATGTCACCTAGCAACAATGTAGTGTCCATCCAGGTGCAACCTACTGAGAATAAACCAAAGATGCAGTGCTGCCAGAGCATCTAGCGGCACCCGTACCATAACCCCCCCCCCAAACCCCAACCACCCACCTGCAACACCCCCTCCCCTCCCCTCCCCCTTCAAGACTGCTTTGGGTCTGAGATGCAGCTGCACAACTAGGCTTGAGCACAGAGGCTGGTTCCAAAGCTGGAATCTCAAAGGGTCACCACCTGCAGTCTGGACTAAGCTTGTTTTTTTCCCTCCCTCCTTCCTGCCATGGTAGGCTTTTATATTGCAGAATTTTAATAATCATTTGTGCCGATCTTCACTGAAATGTCTTAATATATAATTTCATCCGCAAACGTGTGAGGTTCGCTCATGTATGTCTTTAGTAGCAGCCCCCCTTGTCTCTGGGGTGGAGGGGAGAAACGTGCAGTATTGGAGGTTTTGCTATATTTAATGTTGTGATTGTAGAGAGATGATGTACCTGATAGATGTTAGATGATGATTAGGGCCCAAAGACCACAGTCTTCACCTTTCAGCCATCTTCCAAGTGTGGTTCTCATTGCATGTACACTCCCTTCATGCATTCGGCACGGGGCGGCATCGCATCACGTTCTTGATTTCACCATCAGGCCAATGGAAGAGGCCTTAAGGCACATAGCTACTGCGCTGTTTTCTCTTCGCCATCACGTGCTTCATTTGCATCGAGGTAGAATAGTGGTTTTAGTGCCTTTTTTTGATGGAACGTTACACGGAGGACGCTTTCATGCATGTGCTTAAAACGCAACACCTCTTCAGCTGTCCGTGCCAGTGCGGCGAGGCCTTCATCACACGCTAGAATCACACTGTAATGTAGTCCATTATGGACCTTTTCTTTTTTGTGTTACCAGCCCTTTCAGTTGTTGTCTTCGCATAGCAAAAGTTCAATTTGTAATAAACAAGAATTGATGTCATAATTGCAGAAAGATTGTTTCCTAAAGAGGGGACCGTACTACCAAACAGGCACAAGTTCTCTTTGAAACACTACCACAAACCCATTCAGTAAGAAACGAGGGAAGACTTCCCCTAAACGTAACGTTATCTTAACATCCTCGCAACCTCAAACCCATTGTACTTTTGCAGGTCACACTCTTGTCGTTAAAGTCGGAACAGGAAAAACACGCGGCAGTGAATAGTGGCCAGCTGACGGCCGCATCACATGAGAGCACTCTAGGGAATAGACTGGATACTTTCTCTTTCTTTTTTATTGCACTGAATGTAAAATATCTCCCGCCACTACAGTTAATGATCTTAAGACCTGTAACTTGTATTTATTCTGTGGTAGTCACTTGAATCGAGTTGTTAGCCTTTTAATCTTCGTGGCGAAGTGATGGGACTCTTAAGCGTTGAGACACAGTGTGATAATTTATGAATGTATTATGTGTTTTAGCCTACAAAAAGTCTTTGTCCTGATTCCAGCAGATGAGGAAACTACCACAAGCTGTGATGCTCGTCTTCGCTTAATGGCTGTCTAATAAAATTTACTCGGTGTGACATGAAATATCAGTAAAGACTGAACTAATAATGCATGTTATATAACGGTCACCACAGGTGACCTCGGGGTGGAAGAATACTGTAGACCTCAGCAGTGGTTTATTTTTCTTCATCGATCCCTTTGAGTTTAATTACCCTAGCACTAGGTAAAACAACATAGTTTGCTAAGATCATTCCCATCAGGATCAGAACACATTCCAGGTGGAATTGAAGGCCCTTAAAGGCTGCAATGTAATTACTGAATCAGACTGAACCGACATTACTGCATGCAAGTCATTTTACTGTTTTTAGTGAGTCTCCTATAGCTTATAAGCAGCACATACAGTACTTATCGCCATCGAGAGGAAAAGACCTGGTGATTATACAAGCGTCAGGGTCTGTTTCTGTTCTTTTAGGACCCTGACTCTGATTGTATGACTGTTCTCTAGAGGCAGGGGTCTCTGGTGCTAACAGGGGCCGGTGCCAATGATGTGAGGGCACAGATGGCACGACTATGACCTGCCCATGCACTGCACATAGCTGGTGTGTCCTAGTAAGATTACCCAGATATTACTTTTCTGACTGTCGGATCTTTCACGTATTGGCTCGAGAACCTTATTTCTTTTTGTTTCTTTTGTCTGCACTGTACTGTGATTTTATTTTGTATTGTTATGATTATACTATTACTCTGTCACCTGTAATTCCAATTTAAAAGAGCAAATAAAATATGTAGTTAATTCAAAGCTTTTCTATTACTTATATATTGTTTAACCTTTCTTAGCTTAGTTTTCATGGAACAGGTTTATTACCTCATTATGCCCAGTTACTTTATTCCTTTTTTTTTTTTTTTTTTTACATATTTATTTCAGTTCCTTAAGGCATGGCCACAACGTCCTGATTTCTAAAGATAGTAAAAGTGGTTGGTTTATTTAAAAGGGAGCAGTTATATGTGACAGATGATGTTCAGTGCAGACTCACCAAATTATTATTTTCTTGGTAAATGAACGGTATCAAAATCCTACACTGTTTTGTCTAAATAAATAAAACACTAAATATATCTAGCTAGCATCACAACATTATAATGAACAATATAAAAAAACGATTCATTTAGAGATTTGCTAAAATTAAAGATTAACCTTACCTTGAGAGAGTAAATATTACAGTTTAGTGGTTATTACACAAAAACATGTGACTGATGAATAACATGATTAATCAAGCTTCTACACAGCTTACAAAAATGAGGACTTTTTCATGTAAACCAGCAATTAAACAGTAAGAACGTTAAATAAACTGAGCGATCTTGAACAATTCATAAAAGTGCATGAGGAAACACTGCTGAGCTGTAGAGCTGATAGGATTGATGAAATGTTTTTTCCCCTTTTATTTAAGAATGATTGTCACTATGTTATTGCTATTATGATGTTACGCAGCCACTTCAGAACAAAACTCAAATCAAAGCTGCAAAGCTATAATCATCAAACAAACTGAAACACAAGGAAAGGGACATGTCTCCAAATCTATTTATACTGTTTTTAGGACACGTATGAAGTCTCGTCCTATCATGGAGTCTATTTTGACAAAAGAGCTAACATATAATGTTGACTTTATATATTAATACTGTGCACAAATAGCACAAGCACATGAAAATAATTGGTCACTATGGGAATCATTTTTTCATGCTACTTTTTTCCCCCCCTTTAAATATGTTTAACTTTTACACCATAAAGAAAAACATCACTTGCACAAACAAGGTATAAATAAACATCATAAATACATAGCCACAAAATAAAAACCTTTCAAGGCCTGCTAACAGATGTTTTAAAAATGTAAACATACAAAGAAGAAAAACTAAACGTACACAACTTAATTCCAATTCATAAGACATACACACTGATAGCAACAGTCATAAACGTCTATGTACAATAGAAAGCACCAGGTTGTTACACAAATGAGCAGTGTAGTACAGTATCACAGAGCTCATGTTGACCCCAGGCTCTCCTCATAAACTTTAATAAATATTTCTGAGTGGTAGACGAATGTACAGTATTATAAAGTCCTGGTCGGTACTTCCTCATAACGGTAACCGTCTTTACGCAATAAGAACTCTTAATATTTCTTATTTTAAACCATGCTTTTGTTTCTAAGGTCCAGACTAAACGCTCCAGGGTGAAAAAGAGGTTGCCCCCTCACGGTCACCCCGGCTGCCAACTCCAAATTAAAAGTTCTGGATCATTGAGTCGCATTGATTATCTGTTCCAGTGTGTGGAACTCTTGTCTTTAAGAATCAACATAGTGAGTATGTTTCCATGAAAACCTCTCAAATGCTCCTTTATTCCCTCCAAATGCCTTTTCATAGACCTATAAGCAAAGAATGCTTTTCTACCCTTGTATTTCCTGATTTTATATGCAAAGCTTGTTAAAAAAAACATCTCTGAGAGGGGTGATGAATAATCGCTGGTGTCCAAATCTGGAGCTCTTGTTCTGGTATACAGTCCATTTCCCACAATCCTCCTTTACTCAACGGAAAGAGGAACACGGTCTCCACCTGTGTCACGTCCAGTATAATCTACTCATGCATCTGTACTTGAATGTGTGTTGGAGAGGAAGAGAGATAAGAAAAGAGAGAGAGAGAGGTTGAGATTGTAAAAAAACGAGGTCTGGGAACTGCCAGTCTTGCGTCCCGTGTTTTTGGGGCAGGCCTGGGCTCTACAGCAGGGAGCTCGGGGGGCTCTCTGGAGGGGGTGGGGTGTGTGTGGGGCTGTGGCGCATGGGCAAGATGTCGTAGTGGCTGGGAATGTGGCTGTTCCGCGGGAGGTCGTAAGGACTCTGGGAGAATCCGGTCGCCAGGCCGTTGGGTCCCTGAAGAACACTCACTGTCGGTTCTGAGAAGGAAAGGTGGCGAGAGGTGAGCGGCTCAATTTCTGAAACTCTCTCTGAATCTTTAACACATAGCTTTCTATATGGTGTACATTACATTATAAAGATTTAATATTTTTCCCATTAGCTGCATTACTTGGTGATTGTCCTGTATCCTCAATAAACAAGCTACAATTAGTCCAAAATGCAGCTGCTAGAGTCTAGAAAATATGATCATATAACACCAATTTTATCATCTCTACACTGGTTACCTATTAAGTTCCGTATCGATTACAAAGTATTGCTACTGACCTAAACGGTTTAGCTCCTGTGTATTTAACCGATCTTCTATCGCCCTACAATCCATCACGCTCTTTAAGGTCACGAAACTCTGGACTTCTGGTTGTACCTAGTATATCTAAAGTCTACTAAAGGAGGGAGAGCGTTTTCACATTTGGCTCCTAAACTCAGGAATAGCCTTCCTAAATGTTCGGGACTCAGACATGCTCTTCCAGTTTAAATCTAGATAAAAAACATCTCTTTAGCCAAGCTGTCACATAATGCATCTCATAACCTTGTACTCCAGTTATACCAGATCAAATGCACATGATTATATTTGTTTGAAATGTTATGAACAGCAGCTATGCTAATTATTTTCCATTTGCTTTTCTGTTTTATCTCGGGATGGCCATATGAATATGTACATTTCTAAAATGGATTACTTGGACACAGTCACCTGATAACAGATCACTCTGAACAATTGACATATGCATTTTCTGTAAAGCTGCTTTGAAACGATATGTATTATGAAAAGCACTATACAAATAAATGTGAATTGAATTCAACTGAATAAATATTTTTGAATAATTTGGGGAAAATACTGGGATTAAATATTGCCAAATGGCAACCTTGTACTACAGTGGAAAACTTCTCCTTTAAATAAACTAATAAAATTGACAAAATAACAACAAAATGACTACAACGGAAGGGTTGAAAACTGAACAACTCAAAATATGAAGTATATAAATAATGCTAAAATAACACTGATATATATATATATAATTTATAACTGAAGAAAAAATGTAAACACACCTGAACATTGAAGTACACCTTATATCAAGAAAGACAAAGTATAACTTCACAGCTCAGAACAACGGGCTAACTTGTTTATGTATAAATAAGCCTTTTGTTCTACAGTTGTATTAAAAAAAAAAAATTTAATAAATTACATATGGCGACATTCATATTTTCTTAATTTTCTGTAAAACTATGTTGAGCAACATCTATAACAAAAAATGAGCAGCCCCTGAATGTGTCTTTCCTATAGAAATTACAATGCAGTTTGTCTTTCTCACTAGTGAGAAAGTGAAGGCAAGTGAAGTTTCCATATGGCAACATCGTACTAAGACTGTATTAGCAGCTATCGTGCTTAAAGAGAGAAAAAAATGATAAAACAGCAGGGCTCATATAAGAGAAGTAAGCAGTCATTTGCTTTGATCAGACTCACCCACGTCATAGACGTTCCTGCTGGCAGTGGTGAGGGTTGTGCTAGTGCTGGAGCAGAAGGTCAGGTCTCTGTGTGCAGGAGACTTCATCTCCACGTAGCTGCTTTCAGCGTGCTTGCAGGCCAGGCTGGGCGGGTCTCGGATGGTGGCGTACGGGTTCTCACTATTTAGGGAGCACGAGCTGGAGCTACACATGGAGGCCTTTATGTAATCTACACACATTACAGAAAAGATATTAAAAGATATTTTATTGCAATGTAATCACCACATCATCCTCTGGGAGAGAAAAATGTAATACATGTTATTACATATACAAAGAGCTATGGGAAAATTAAGTTGCGTTCAAGACAATCTCTCGGCAAAGATGCAAAATAAGCACTTTCCATGATGTACAGTTTAGAAACAGCAGCATCCCAGGGTGAATTTTTCCAGTGAAAGTTAGACTGCACTGGAAAATCTTGTTACAGCAGTTAACATCTAATGTAGCTGAAGAAGAGTTTGTGTAGAGAGAGTAAAATATAGACGTGGCTGTATTACTTATGTACATCATCCAGAAATATAGAGGAAGTGATTAAGTTGTGCTTTGTGGAAAGAAGGAAGTGATGGCACAACAGTATTTATAAATCTCTTACACCATTTAAAACGTAACGCATTTGCGAATGAGGCACATGCACATCCAGTGTGATCACCATAGTACTATAGTACTGAATGTACTAATCTTCGAAAGTCATTCTTCATTTTTAAAAACAAAGTGAATGCAGTTGTCCTTGTTAAAGGGCCCCCTCAAAAATGGAAAAGGACATCTTGTGTACAGTGTCCACATATTACATCAGCAAATGTCCAACATAGTCACTACCTTTGGCCATTCGGGTGGTTTTGCTGTCCCTCAGTGTAAGTGTGTCTCCTCTTGATACACCTAATGAAGCACATGAACACATTCTCAGTAATTCATGATTTAAAAACAGTATAAATAGATGATGGTAAATGGTAAAACTATAGGCTATATATATATATATATATATATATATATATATATATATATATATATATATATATACGCTATTGTATATATATACTGTATATACACCCTTTTGAATGACGTATGCTCATAAAGCCTGCATTTACTTAAAAAAATATATTTATTATAACTGTTTTCCTTTTTAACATATTTTAAAATATAATTTATTCCTGTGATGACAAAGCTGAGTTTTCAGCATCATTACTCCAGTCTTCAGTGTCACATGATCCTTCAGAAATCATTCTAATATGCTGATTTGCTGCTCATGAACCATTTCTTCTTATATTTTTCTTCTTTAAGCCTTTTTTAATATTTTTTGTGGAAACCGTGATATCTATGATGAATAGAAAGTTTCAATATTTAT